AAAAAAGATGGAAGGGACGACGCTTATCTGCACGATATAGCTGTAGTTTCCAACCCCGTCTTAAAGCTCTCTATGAAAGGTTCGGAAACTATCAACTAACATTTGACCTGTGAAAATTTCATCTTTTGGCCAGTTTAATATTACTTTATCGGGCCATGAAGTAGGTAGTGGTAAAGTGGCCTCCTAAATTTGCTAGTCTCAGCATTAAAAAATTCCTCATGATAAGAAATCCCTATAAAGTTTTTGGGAATGATAGGTTTCTACAGGCACTTTTGTATGAACTTTGCAGATGTAGTAGCCCCCTTAACCTCACTTACCAGTAATAAAAATAAATTTTGTTGGAGCCTAGATTGCCAAGAGCATTTAATCGTGCTCAACGTCTCTTGTGTACTACACCCATTTTCCTGTCTCCCGATTTTTCAAAGCCTTTTGTGTTAAAGGCTGATGCCTGTGAGTCAGGGGTAGGCGCAGTATTACTACAAGAGTCCGAGGAGAAATGTTTGCAGCCTGTAGCGTATTACTCAGCCAAGTATCAGGCCCATCAACAGGCCTATTCTACCAGCCCTGATACCTTAGCCCTGATACTTGCGCTGGAGCATTTCGACGTCTTCATAGGACAGTCATCTCATGTGGTCACCGTCTACAGAGATCACAACCCTCTCGTCTTAGTGCCATGAAGAATCACAAAACCCGACTGGTGAGGTGGAGTCTCAGGCTGCAGCTATATAATCTCTCCATTCGCCACATAGCCGGAAAAGACAATATTCTGACAGATGCTCTATCTCGTATATAGGTTAGGATGTGTTAGTAAGCTCTTTTTTTCCCTTTATGGTCATAATATAATTTATAATATTAAAAATATCTAAATTACAAGGTGTGCTGGCCATTCTGCACCTTTGTTCGAAATAAACACTGCATGAACAACCGTGTAGTTTATGGTAATATTCTTATATTCTTCAGTTTTATTACAGAATTGTTAGGCCTTTGCTTGGTTTATATTTTTTCTGTTAACTGTTTTCGAGGATTCGTGATTTATTAGTATATATTTATCTTATAACAGAGTTGACACTGTGCATGCAAAAAAAAAAAATATGATTAACGGTTCATCTGGTGTTATTGAGAATATAGAGATAGACAGTATAATAACCTTTGTAACATGTCAAGATATCTTATTAATGAAAATAAAATACGAGATATATAAGCAAATTTCCTAAATTTGCTTGAAAACAGATAAGTGAACTGCAGATATATAGATAAATAAAAACCTATATGTACACCTGTTAACCCTTTGGGGCCTAGTTCCTGGGCCTTTTGTGTATCCATATGTTCTTGTGCTACCGTCCACAGGATGGATATGGGGTGCATAATAAACTAGCCACTTCGGTGGCAAAATCTAATTTGGTGTTGTGTGGCCAGTATCCTTATGGTGAAAAGTAAAGTTGGGGGAAAATCACGACTTGGTTATATATTTTTTAAAAGTTGTTGCTGTTGCTCGTCAAAAACTCCCTGATGTACATTCAGGATTCCCCCAGTTTTAGTGATTTTTTTCCCGAGGGTTTACATGATGCTCACCCTCGGTATGCATTATGGTACCTTGGGTTTAATTTTGCAGTGAATTCCATGAGGCAATCATCTAGATTTGTTTGGAATGTTGCACCTGTCCCCTTGCTGTTGTGGTACCTTGATGTTAAAGAAATGTTGTGAGCAACAGCCTAGGAGATGATAGAATTATTAGGATAGGATAGAACTTTGAAATCAGTAATTGAAGAGTTTTAAAAAAAGTGTTAGGGGGCTATGTTTAGTTCCTGCGTTAATGACTGGGTGCGGAGTCGTGTCGGGTGCGTATCTGTTTGTAGTTGAAGCCTGATTAGTCGCCTCGATTGCAGGTTGTGAGGTTGGTTGGGGGTTTGGAGGGGGAAGGGGTTGTGAAAGGTCTGTTTTGTGGTTTGTACGTTAGGGTTTGTTCCGTAGTTGGGTTGGTATCACACTCAGCTCAACACACTGAGGTCCGTGGGTCGAACACCGATATGGGTGGAAACATTAAGGGAGTTTCCTTTAGACACCTGCTGTGTCTGTTCATTATGATCATACATAGCAGATATGTGTAGAGAACCTAAGATAACCCCAAAAAAGTCGAAGTGACTTATTTTGTTTTGGGGTTTTAATGATAATTATTATTTATACTTAAAAGTTAAAACGGTAAGTATCTTAACTATGTAAAAATAGTTAAAATTTAAAAGAAGAACATTAAGGGAGATATATGTTAGTTATTTTCATACAAGAAATCACTCTCCTCCCTTTCTATAACCTTATTATGAGGTACATTTTGGCTCTCTGCTTGAACTGGCTCATGCTATGACAGGCTTTGACATGTGCAGGCAGTCTGTTCCACTCTTTTATTGCTGTGTAGAAAAATGTGTGAAGCCTGACCACTGACTCTAGGTACTGCAAAGTTGTTCTCCCTTCCCGTATTCTATAATTGCTTTGGGTTTCCCCGGCCTTAACAAAATTGGCAGTAAGATACATGTATTGGGACACGGGTTGTGGAGCAATTTATAAACGTAATTTAGCTTCATTTGTTTTGCTCTGTCTTCAAAATTCAGCATATCCAGTTGTTGTAATTCATTCTGGCCTAAATGCTTTCTTGGACTCAGGTCCAGGATGAATCTCACCATGTAATGTTTCTGCCTCCAGGAATGTGTTTGTCACTCACTGTCACTTGAGAATTATCATCTATCAGGATGGGTTATTCTACACACACCACACAACACACACACAAAACACACACACACAAAGACAGGATGTTCCAGAGATTGGACACAGCAACAAGGGGACACAGTTGGAAGTTGAAGACACAGATGAATCACAGGGATGTTAGGAAGTATTTCTTCAGCCACAGAGTAGTCAGGAAGTGGAATAGTTTGGGAAGCGATGTAGTGGAGGCAGGATCCATACATAGCTTTAAGCAGAGGTATAATAAAGCTCACGGCTCAGGGAGAGTGACCTAGTAGCCACCAGTGAAGAGGCGGGGCCAGGAGCTTGGAATCGACCCCTGCAACCTCAACTAGGTGAGTACAACTAGGTGAGTACACACACACACACGCCAGAAGTTGTGACCCGACCGCCGCAACCACAACTAATGAGTACACACACACACACACACACGCGAGAAATGGAAAGTTTAAGGTGTATGTTTGGTAAGTTCGTATGTTATGATGCACGGGGTGCCGGTGGCGTGGTTCAATGTATGTTGTCATGCATGGGGGGAGGGATTGACGTTAGCGTGGTTATTTGCATGCTGCGACGCATGTATCAGAAAGTTGGTGCAGTTGAGGGTGTTTATTGCTGTTTGTTGTGGTCCTGTGGTGGTGTGTTGGGAAGCATGAGGGAAGGTGGAGGCACCTGGCGTCGTGGTGGTGTGTTGCGAAGCATGAGGGAAGGTGGAGGCACCAGGCGTCGTGGTGATGTGTTGCGAAGCATGAGGGAAGGTGGAGGCACCGGCGTCGTGGTGGTGTGTTGCGAAGCATGGGGGAAAGGTGGGGGACCCCTGGCGTCGTGGTGGTGTGTTGCGATGCTGAGGGAAGGTGGAGGCACCTGGCGTCGTATTTGGTGTTTTGCGAAGCATGAGGGAGGTGGAGGCACCTGGCGTCGGGGTGGTGTGTTGCGATGCATGAGGGAAGAGTGGAGCACTGGCGTCGTGGTGGTGTGTTGCGATGCATGAGGGACGGTGGGGGACACCTGGCGTCGTGGGGGTGTTGCGTGCATGAGGGACGGTGGAGGCACCTGGCGTCGTGATGGTGTGTTGCGAAGCATGAGGGACGGTGGAGGAAACCTGGCGTGTGGTGGTGTTTTTGCGAAGCATGAGGGACGGTGGAGGCACCTGGCGTCGTGGTTTGTGTGTTGCGAAGCATGAGGGAGGTGGAGGCACCTGGCGTCGTAGTGGTGTGTTGCGATGCATGAGGGAAGGTGGAGGCACCAGGCGTCGTGGTGGTGTGTTGCGATGCTGAGGGAAGGTGGAGGCCCCTGGCGTCGTGGTGGTGTTTTTTGGGAAGCATGAGGGACGGTGGAGGCCCCTGGCGTCGTGGTGGTGTGTTGCGAACCCATGAGTGGGACGGTGGAGGCACCTGGCGTCGTGGTGGTGTGTTGCGAAGCATGAGGGACGGTGGAGGCACCTGGCGTCGTAGTGGTGTGTTGCGATGCATGGGGGAAAGGTGGAGGCACCAGGCGTCGTGGTGGTGTGTTGCGATGCATGAGGAAGGTGGAGGCACCGGGGGGTCGTGGTGGTGTGCTGGGAAGCATGAGGGACGGTGGAGGCACCTGGCGTCGGGTGGGTGTTGCGAAGCATGAGGGAAGGTGGAGCACCTGGCGTCGTGGTGGTGTTTTGCGAAGCATTGAGGGAAGGTGGAGGCACCTGGCGTCGTGGTGGTGTGTTGCAAAGCATGAGGGACGGTGGAGGCACCTGGCGTCGTGGGGGTGTGTTGCGAAGCATGGGGGAAAGGTGGAGGCACCGGGCGTCGTGGTGGTGTGTTGCGAAGCATGAGGGAAGGTGGAGGCACCTGGCGTCGTGGTGGTGTGTTGCGAAGCATGGGGGAAGGTGGAGGCACCTGGCGTCGTGGTGGTGTGTTGCGAAGCATGAGGGACGGTGGAGGCACCTGGCGTCGTGGTGGTTGTTGCGAAGCATGAGGGACGGTGGAGGCACCTGGCGTCGGTAGTGGTGTGTTGCGATGCATGAGGGAAGGTGGAGGCAACCAGGCGTCGTGGTGGTGTGTTGCGATGCATAGGGAAGGTGGAGGCACCTGGCGTCGTGGGGTGTTTTTGCGATGCATGAGGAAGGTGGGGGCACCGGCGTCGTGGTGGTGTGTTGCGATGCATGGAGGGAAGGGGGAGGCACCTGGCGTCGTGATGGTGGTTGGGAGCATGAGGGAAGGTGGAGGCACCTGGCGTCGTGGTGATGTGTTGGGAAGCATGAGGACGGTGGAGGCACCTGGCGTCGTGGTGGTGTGTTGGGAAGCATTGAGGGAAGGTGGAGGCACCTGGCGTCGTGTGGTGTGTTGGGAAGCATGAGGGACGGTGGGGGCACCTGGCGTCGTGGTGGTGGGGTTGGGAAGCATGAGGGAAGGGGGGAGGAAACCTGGCGTCGTGGTGGTGTGTTGGAAGAAATGGGGACGGTGGAGGAAACCTGGGTCGTGGTGGTGTGTTGGGAAGCATGAGGGACGGTGGAGGCCCCTGGCGTCGTGGTGGTGTGTTGGAAGCATGAGGGACGGTGGAGGCACCTGGCGTCGGGGTTGGTGTGTTGGGAGCATGGGGAAAGGGTGGAGGCACCTGGCGTCGTGGTGGTGTGTTGGGAAGCATGAGGGACGGTGGAGGCCCACCTGGCGTCGTGGTGGCGTGTTGGGAAGCATGAGGGAAGGTGGAGGCACCTGGCGTCGTGGTGGTGTGTTGGGAAGCATGAGGGACGGTGGAGGCACCTGGCGTGTGGTGGTGTGTTGGGAAGCATGAGGGACGGTGGAGGCACCTGGCGTCGGGTGGTGTGTTGGGAAGCATGAGGGACGGGGGAGGCACCTGGCGTCGTGGTGGTGTGTGGAAGCATGAGGGAAGGTGGAGGCACCTGCGTCGTGGTGGTGTGTTGGAAGCATGAGGGACGGTGGAGGCACCTGGCGTCGTGGGGGTTTGTTGGGAAGCATGGGGAAAGGTGGAGGCCCTGGCGTCGTGGTGGTGTGTTGGGAAGCATGAGGGACGGTGGAGGCACCTGGCGTCGTGGTGGTGGTTGGGAAGCATAGAGGGACGGTGGAGGCACCTGCGTCGTGGTGGTGGTTGTTGGGAAGCATGAGGGACGGTGGAGGCACCTGGCGTCGTGGTGGTGTGTTGGGAAGCATGAGGGAAGGTGGAGGCACCTGGCGTCGTGGTGGTGTGTTGGGGAAGCATGAGGGAAGGTGGAGGCACCTGGGGGTCGTGGTGATGATTGATGTTCTTCGTGTGAATTTATATTAAATGATATCCATTTCTTACATTCCTTCCAGCTTGTCAAAATGCATGGACCTAAACTTCCAGTATTCACACTGATGTGGTATTCAAGACAAAAGTTTGTGTTCGAATGTGATATCAGGTCCCACTTTTGTCAGACTTACAGACAAGCTTACGACCAAGTTTTACAAGCAAGTTATAGCCCAGGCTTTGGGACCAAGCTTACAGACCAAGCTAAGACCAAGCTTAAAGACTAAGCTTATAGACCAAGCTTAATAGACCAAGTTTATAGACCAAGCTTATAGACCAAGCTTAAAGTAGTTTATCCAAGCTTATAGACCAAGCTTATAGACCAAGCTTATAGACCAAGCTTATAGACCAAGCTTAAAGACAAAGCTTATAGACCAACTTAGCTTGTAGACCAAGAAGTGATTTTATTTTTCCGGCGAAAACTTCAGATTTTGACGGAGGTAAAACAGCACACACAAGAATGTCCGGTTTCTTATTACAGATTGAAGATATTAATTTGTTAGTTTTATTAGTAAAACTCTGGGTGTTTTTACACTAAGGTAACTTAAAGACTACGTCTCCTGGACGGCTTTACGCTGTCAAGACTAATACACCCAGAATATATTGTAGCTTTAACTTAAGTATATCAAAAGTTGACAATTTTTCTGCCGTAGTTAAAAGATAAGGGGTCAGCAGTTTCTGGAGAATGGTCGGGTCTCTCAGTTTAAAAATGAGTTTTGATTGAAGGAAGCTACACAAATGATTTTTTTACTAAGTATAAATTTGTATCTGGTATTGAAATTGGTTTACATGCAGAAATTGGTGTACCTTACTTCAACATTTGGATTTTTTAATGAAAAAGTCGAGAAAATTTAAATGTTAATTGTCAAATGATGTTGGGAAATACCTCCTCTAGTCGGGTTCTAACCTCCTTCACTGCTGATATATCCTTTCTAGAAGACTCTTATTGGACTGTATACATGTCATTTTGCAAAATTTACATCAAACTCAGCTTTGGATTGATTGGATTTAAACTTTCAAAAGTTGGTGTATCCGTCATCTACATGCCCTACTTGGGTATGTAGATGAGCGCACCCATTATGTCGGGAAGTGAATAGATGACATGAGTACTTCTTTTACTGTACAGGAGCATGAGGATGCAGTGACGCATCCGTACTCAGACTCCAAGATATGAACTAACGTGATATGCAGTGTACTCTCAAGCGCTGATGCCCAGCGGTCAGTGAGTCGCCCTAACTGTCTATAAGGTCGCATTAGTACCCCAATGGAAATAAGTCATCTTGTCTGACTCTTTTTTGGGGTAATCGCAGGTTCTCTACACATATGCTGCTATGTATGATAATCTGTGTAACTGTTTTTGTGTACACCTGAATAAACTTACTTGTGGAGTACACTCTGGATGGTTATACCATAAGACCCGTACTATACAAGTATGACTCACGAAATCGTAATAACATGATTGCAAACACACCATACCACGGGCGGGGTTAGAACCCGCGATCAGAGTGAGTTTAATATCTTTATTATGCACCCCATACCCATCCTGTGGGCGGTAGTCACACCATACCCATCCTGTGGGCGGTAGTCACACCATACCCATCCTGTGGGCGGTAGTCACACCATACCCATCCTGTGGGCGGTAGTCAAAAGATTACAAAGGTACATAATGGGTCCAGGGACTGGACCCCAAAGTTATGATAGCTGAACTAGTTACAAAGGTAATGAACTCCAGGTAGATCTGGTCACAATCATGGCAAGTTACAGAGTAATGAATCAGCTCAACCCTATACATGGTTCAGTCATGAACAAATTACAAAGTTTTGAACCACTGATTCGGTCCACACCTGGTCACAAATTTTAATGAGTTATAAATACATATTTAAGTGGGTCATACACCCACATAGCGCGCGCGCACACACACACACATACACACACGATGGCGCACGCACAGACACAAGCACACGAGCGACAAATATATACAACAAACACGCACACCACAACACACACACCACACACAACACACACACACACCCACACACACACACCAACACACGCACACCCCACAACACACACACACACACAAACACACACCACACACACACACAACACACACACACACACACAAAACACATACACACACACACACACCCAGAGCTGAGTCTCGACCCCTGCAACCCCAATTAGGGAGTACACCCGCACACACACACACACACAACACACACACTCGGGGCCAGGAGCTAAGACTCGACCCTGCAACCACAATTAAAGGTGAGTACACACACACACAACACACCACACACACCACACAACACAAACACACACCCACATGCACACATGCAGGAGGCCAAGAGAGGGAAAATGAAGAGAGCAACGAGCAATGGGTGGGGCACAACTTGATGAGGTGCAAGAAGAGCTCACTCCATGTTAAGGGCATACCAGAGTAGAGGGGAGGAATGGAACCAGCAAAATTGGACCTTGGTGTTCACCCTGGGGCATCAGTATTGAGGACATCAAGTATGAGAGTCCCCTGGAGCCCAGCGACCACGTGTCTGTGCTTTGAATACATGTAGAGTGCAAGGGAGAGGAAACAGGAGTTTATGGGGAAAAACTGACTATAAAAGGGGACTACATAGGGTTGAGACTTCCTGCGGGGGTCCAGTGGGACAGAGAACTGGAAAGGGAAAACCAGTAAATGAAATGATGGAATATGTAACAACAAAATGCAAGGGGCTGGAAAGGGTTTATTCCCAGGGCAAAAGTAACAAGGGAAAACCAGAACGAGGCCCCGGTTTACCGTCGGTGTAAGGAGGAAAAAACCAAAATGCATAGAGAATGGAAAAAGTAAGAAGGCAGAGACACCAAAATAGGGGGATATCGCAGAGCCCGGAATGAGTATGCACAGGGAAGGAGGGAGGCCCAGCGGACAGTATGAAAATGACATTGCATCGAGAATCAAGGACGGGCCCGAAAGTTGTATGCCACATCAGGAGGGAAGGACAACAGTCAAGACCAGGGGGATCCAGAAATTTAAAGGACAGAAGGTGGAAACTCACAAGAAATGTTCGGAGGTAAAGTGAGGAGCTGAAACAGAGATTCAAGGAAGTTTTTACAGTAAGAGAAAAGGAAGGGCTGGGAAGACAGCACAGAAGGGAACATCAAGAGGGAATATATCAACAAGTGTTGGAGGGAAAACGAACAACTGAGGAGGAAGGTGAAGAAGCTTTAAATGACTTGACACCTCAAAGGGGATGGGACCGGACAACATCTCCCCTGGGTTTTAGAGAAGGAGCAGAGATGTGTGCGTCCCTTTAAACCACAATCTTCAACACTCCCTTAAAATGGGCAACTACCTGAGAAAGGGAAGGGGACAGCAAATGTAGTCCCCTTTTTAAAAAAGGAAACAGAAACGAGGCTAAACTACGCCTTGTTCTGAATGTATTGTGTGAAAATCTGGAGAAGATTATCAGGAGGAGAGTGGTCGAACCCTGGAAAGGA